TTTTTTTTAAAGCACTTGCGGTGGGCAGATGAAGACGCTTAAGCTAAGTATTGTTATGTGCTCCTGGCTACTTTCCTTCATGACCAGAGGCAAGCTCGCCTGACCAATAACCAGCCAAGACACAGTGAAGGCCTTTATTGCAATAAGCGGGGGAGAGAAGCTATCAAAGCTTGGTTCTCTCCAAAGTTCCAACCCAAAATATTCCCTTCTTTATACAATCCTTGTCCTGGCCACACATCCTTCCTCTTTCCCCATTGGCTGAGGTACTATGAGGTTACACTCTTTCCCACCGCCTCTTACACATTTCCTGCTACATACTAAAACATACATCACATGTACATTAAAATTAAGAGATAATTTATACAAGGTGTGTCAGTTAATATTAATCAACTAATTGCACATGCTCAGTTGCCTGAGTTCTGGCCCCCTTTTTTATGACTTCTTAGAAAAATAGGTTCTTTCCTGTTTTGCTAGTTATCTTCTCTTACAAATGTTTTTATAGCTTGTCTTCTTCCTTTCCCACTCTAAGACCCAGTTAATTTTTGCCTACGTGTTTCTTTTACATCCTTTCTTTATGTTATCCTTTCCTGGTTCCCATATATTATTAGTTTTTGGTAAGCTTGTTTGTCCAGGCAGTAAGTTTCCACTGCAGCAAATTCAATTTTAAATTTCTCTTTCAATACTAAATTTTTGAAGACCTTTCCATTACTTCTATCAGTATGGTAGCAGCAGTTGTTTTTTTTAAAATGGCTTGGAGGCAATTTAGTTCCTGAGCTGGGCACTGAAAACAGCTGATGGGTGGCCAGCTGGAAAGCTTCTCAGTTCACTTAATGTGGCAGAGATCCATTAATAAATCCGAGGAAATCATAAGTCTGATCTTCATTCATTTAACAACCTGTTTGATTCAATAAATGAATTTGATTTTAAAAAAATTGTTAAATTGAATCTGATTCATCTGACAATTTTTTTGACTTACCAGCCTAATGGGCAGGCACCACTAGGTTCATAACGTGAGGACTATCTGTATCTCATATAGTAGGTTTTAAGGATTAAGGTTGTGCTTAGAAGTTTGCTTTTGGTGACTCAGTGTAGTGTTTCCAAATAGCTGAGTAATGGAGTTTCATGAAACAAAGTCTTTTATGGGTAGGTGTCATGGATCTATCCCAGATCCTTCTCCAGATGCCAGATCAGAGGAGGAGGGTGAATTTGAGTCTGAAAAAGAAAGTGTGGAGATGAGTATTGGTCAGGATTGGGGCTCAGAGAACGCTAGCCTGATGGAACAGCCTCAGCTGGGTCATCAGACCAGTGACAGGCTGAGGTTGAGAGAGATGAGCTGCAGCTGCACCAATTTGGCCAGGAGGCTCCAGGCAAGGACTGCAGCAGCTGCTGCCTATTAGCAATGAGAAAGAGTCCACACCACCTCCTGATCCAAGGACATGCAGAGCAGAGAGGAGACAGGCATAATATTGGTCAGCTAGACTACTTGTGAGGAGGCAACCTCGCCTTTCATGAAGGGCTACACTAGTGTTGCCTAATTAATCCCATCCTGAGGATTTGAGTGTTGCTGGAGCAATGTACCAAGTTCTGTGCCTTGTGTGCTTGTGCTGTATTTAGTTGGCCTATTTGACTCCTGGACTGCTTTCCTGGACTTCGTGTGTGCCCTCTGGACTCAGTTACTCAGCGATTGTTGCTGAGCTTGGAATCCAAACCTGCACAACAGGGGTGCTTTCTGAAGACCTGTTTGGGGGGAGTTGAATAAACATCTGTAGAACTCTTGCCATACATGCGTGGGGGGGAGCGGGGGAGCACAGTAGAAGACTGTAATGCAGGGGTGTGCAACTATGGTTCCTTTATGACGGGTGTCAAATGCGTAACATCACGTGACGTGTCACAACATATCACAACTTTTTTTCCATTGCTGGCAATGGGGTGGGTGTGGTTTTGGTATGACACATCTGGCCCGCTGGCCGGCAATTTGACACTGCTGCTTTATGACCTCTGGACTTCAACTCCCAGAATTTGTGAGCCAGCATGGCATGGCTGGCTCAGGAATTCTAAGAGTTGAAGTCCACATGTCATAAAGGGACCATAGTTGCACACCTCAGCTTTAATGTACAGCAAAGGCCTCTAGTATAGGCATATCCATCTCCCCAAAAATCATCCATCCATCTATTCATGTATATATGTGTGTATGTTTGTGTGTATATACACACACCCCTATATGGTTTACACTACATAACTTCATGTTCTAATATAGTTCCCTCTTTAAAAAAACCATTGTTATCTCACAATTGTTTTTCTATTGTCACAGAAGGCAAGCCATATATGTTAGCAGTTGCTATAATGTGCTATCTCTCCTTCTCTTCCATATGTCACTGTTTTCAAAGCTCAAGTCAGTTGCAGATTAAATACAGGTTTGCACTCAAAAGTTTTTGCTGACAAAGTATAGCACTAAACTTCATACACCTTTGTTCAAGCCATTTCTGTTTTGAAAAAAAAAGTTTGTTTCTCTCTGTATCCCAAGTATTTTAGCTTGTTGCCATGATCAGGTTGTCATGCAAATTTCCATGTAATCACCAGAGTTGAGTGTGAATCAAGGAAGCCATTTCCATAGCATCATGCTCTTCCTTCTAACACACATTTAGGAACTAAATCTGGATTCAGCACCTTAAATCAACCAATGTGATAAGGTGCCACACCATCTTCTCAACACTTTCTACAAAACTTTAGCAGAACTTGGAAATGGAAATCTGTGAACCAAAATTGTATATGTTCACATCTTGTAGTTGGCATATTACTATTTCTACAGATGCACTTAATAATTATGAAAAGGTCCATAGCAAATGGCTCTTTATTTCTGTTCTTTGAGTTAGACCAAAGATGCTCAGTTCTGAATCTGCTAGTTGTCATAGCATCCTTTGTTCAAAAATATGACTAATTACTTCTCTTGGCCCTGAGGACAGAAAACATTGTATGGAGTAGAAATTGTGAAATTGGACATTGTTCCTTTACTTTAAAACAACAGATTTTGACTTTCCAATTTCTGATGTTCTAAGCATTTCCCCTCTATTAAAAGCATTATTTCAAGAGGTACCATTAGGTTGGTTTCACCATAGATGGAAAATAAATTGTGTCATACTCATGTTAGTTTTTACAGATGTGAGTATATTCTCTTTGACTTCACAGATTAAACAGTACAATAGAATCAAAGAGGTTATAATAAAGCCCATTTTTAAATAATGTTTAGATTCAAAGGGTTGGTTTGATATGTTGGCTGCTTTATATCCTTTATTATTTAGAGTAGTCTGGGAGTTTTGATGAAATGTAACAAAAGACTCGGAAACAGTGTATCTTCCTTATATGGAAAGGATTGAAATTTTTATAGATCTTTGACTCTAAAAAGTGTATCTTTATTTGAGAAAAATAGATGCAGAAATTGGTGTGTGTGCACATTTGAATTAATACTATCAGATCTGGTCTGCAAAAGTCAGTATAACATTCAGATGGCAGCCAAGATACAAAAATACTGATTTTTGGCTTCCAAACAGTGGCTAACTAGACTTTTGCACTTGGATCTGGTAGCCTTACTCTGAATAACATTCAAGAGATTTAATAGGGTTATTTAACAACAAATATATTTAACACAAAATCTATACTATTTTCATTATTATCTTTGTTGTTTTCCTCCTATCTCAGCTTCCACAGATATATTTTAAGCTTAGCCTCTCTTTTCTGTATTCAGATTCGATTCATTCTGAAAGTAATAGGAAATCACTAGACAACATGGCTGTATGATATTAAAAAAATTAGGAGAATGTGGTGGATGATATCTCAAAAAGACATTTCAAATATTATTTGGCATTTTAATTAAAATATCATTTCTAAGTTCATTGGGTTATTGGAATATAACTGCTTTTAGGAATATATGAAATCCCTTGATGGGATTTTCCTAATCTTAATGAAATTCATTTAGCTTCTCCAAAATTTCCTCAGAGATTTTCGCTAATTCTTCAAATGCACCTGAACTTTGACATGGACTGAACAATATTTGAATCCAAATCAGAAAAGCTATATTTCACTCCAGTGCACATACTTGTCTTCTAAATTATCATAATTAGTTGGGGGATATTAAAATTTCAATAAATGTCTATTTAAAAAAAAATCTTAGAGAGGAATATTTATTCAGATATGGATTACATTTACAACTTAAAATAAGGATTCACAACATTAAAGCTATTGCAGAAAGATATGTATTTATTCATACTTTTACCACTTCCATCACACTGATTTATCCTAAAATGATTTTTAACACCTACCGTGGTCTCTGCAAGTCTTATTTGCATTTCTTTGTGCATCGTGTTGTTGAATCCTAAAAATCAAAAACATTGTCTCTTTGTCTCAAACATGTTAGAGTGGGTTTTATGGTTATATTTCAAATAAGAAACATATCATCATTAAAAATTGACATCTCTTAGACCACACAAAACATCCAACTTGTGGTGAGCATTGAACGTGAATCTCTGGCAGAATTTGTGTTTTTGTGCCTTGTAAATAAGTACTGTAGTTTTCTAGGAGATTTGAGAATATTGCAGACAATGGACATGGGGAATCTAAGCAGAACAATAAAATCAAACAAAATTGCTGAACAGCTATTAATAAGGGAATCAAGTAATTGAAATATGTCTTTTGTGTAATGTTCAGTCTGGGCTTTGAACCTGTTTCTATCTTATTGCTGCTACATGCTACAGTTAATGTTGTAGTAATAAACTTTCATTTTCCTGGGCCTCAACAACTGGCATATGCTCTCTGGAGTTTATATATCACAAGGGAATGCTGAAACATATGGCAAGAAAGAAAGTATAGCATTCTTTGAGCAAGCCAAAATATTCAGCAAATATTTTTGTGAGAGATTCCCTGCCTCTCTCAGGGAGAGAAAATTCAATAAAATACTTGTGAGGAAAAGAAAAAATAGAAACTTGCCTTTAGTTCATATATATTTTGGAGTGCACCCCCCTCTTATATCTATTTATTTTTTTAAAAAGAAAGTTGTAAGTAACTTTGTAAACAAATGCAAATTGATTGCTATTAATTTGAGGGAAGAGCATGGTGGCTTATGTGGTTAGACACTGGCTTGACAACCAGAAAGCTTATGTTTGAGACCTGAGTGCTGCTGTGGAGTGGGGTGAGCTCCCATCCTTCACTCCAGCTCTTACCAGGGACATGAAAGGAGCCCCCAACTTGGCATCCCCAAGACAATGGTGATGTCACCGGCTAATCCTTTCCACCCGGAAGTGTTTCAGTGCCTCTGGCACGGGTGCAATGTGATTAAGTTGATGTCAGTGCTTAGAAACCACGTAACTAGAATTTGGCTAGGTGAAACTATCCCAAACTTGATCTTTCAGATCTTCCAAAGGTGCATCCATTGATGCTGTAATTCAAACTTCAACTTTTCCTTCCATAGTGTGTCACAGGGAAAGCCATTGCCTGCACAATTCTGATATTTGTAGGTATAGACACATCACAGTATCTGAATCTCTCTTTTCAAAGGCCTGCATTGCTACTCTACCAAGAACTTCAATGGGTTATGGAATACTTCTTGACTGCTGGCTCCTTTTCTATTGATAGTTCATCCTAACAGGTAGAAACTGTTCACCACTTCAGTGTCCTCATTGTCACCTCTAAGGCTGAGGTCTGTCTGATCTGCATTGGACCTTCCTAAACATTATTTTGCTTGCAGGTGTAATCAAAGATACTGTATTATACCTTGCACTCTCTCTTAAGTCTTGTCTTTTTGAGGTTGGTATTGTAGATTGTTGGTCACTATTGTAAATCTGTTGGCCACTCTGTCGTGCTCCAGATTTATTAGCATAACTTGAGCATAACCTTAATGATCACTCTTCTGTTCCTTGCCATGATTTGGCAAATATTCCAACAATTCTTCTGGCCTGATAATGACAAGAGTATACATCTAATTTTGGTTCTCTTACTAAATATCTTATAAGGTAGTTTGAATGTTGAAATCTCTATTGTATAAAATTTCAGTATAAATCTTCCACTTTTGATCTTCTTTGGATTTACTGCTGTCTGTTCCTATGGTGAAATAAAAGCTTATGCTTTTCACTAAAATTTATTAGTCAGAAAAGATGCTATCAGATTACTCTTTGTTTGGTTTTGACGCTATAGACCAGGGGTGTCAAATTGCCGGCCTGCGGGCCAGATGAGTCATGCCAAAACCGCGCCCACCCCAGCTCCAGCAATGCGGAAAAAGTCGCAACACGTTGCAACATGTCACGTGACATTGCAAATTTGACACGCCTGCTATAGACTAATCGGTCAATATTTTATTACAGACACAAACCAGAGTTAAAGCATAGATTAACATGGCTCCCCTCCTATTATATCTGTCCATTGGCATCCATCAGCATACCAGTTCGAGGTTGGAATGTCTTGAGTTCTGACATCATTTGGAAAACTTTTATTTTTCCATATCTGTTTTTATCTTTGATGTCTTTATAGGTTTTGTTGTAATACTGTTTTTTGTCTCTTTTAACAATTCTCTGAAATTGAGTTGCTTCCTGAGATCTTTAACCAGTCTTGGCTTTGACGTCTCTTTTCTTTTTTCTGTTTCTTGATCTCCTCTAATCTGCTTTCACATTCATCCTTAACAACTTATTTAAATTAATTCCACACTTCCTCCTTCAATGAGGTTCAGAACTTTCAAAATGATTCCTGTTGATCTCTTTGAAAATGTTGGTATATGATCAAGATCACATTGCAGAAACTAATTGGCCTTTTTCTTTCACTTTAGTTTAATTTGAAACTTGCATATGAACAATTTGTGATCTGTTCTACAGTTGGTCCTCAGCTACATCTTTGCTCTTATAACTGAGTTCTTACAACTCCTTTTATCAATAATATTATAGACAGTTTGGCTTCTATGAAGTCCATCTATGTAGGCATCATTTGATTATGAAGACTATGTTAGTAAGAAAGAAAACCTTGGATTGGTGAAAATTTGATAAGCCCTTCTTCTGCTTTACAGTCCACCATGTTTTCCTTCTTAATATTTCTCACTTTGACATTCTAATCTCTAACCACAAGTAGCATATCTTGCTTGCTTGTTCTTTCAATTCCAAACTTAACACACTGGAGACTGTGTTTTATAAAAATATATTGTATATTTTAAAGTAAAGTCCCAAATCTAAACGCTGGAAGCTTTACATAAGAAAAAAATAGTAAGTCCTCTCAATTTCCAATCTTAAATTCAGTTTATTCCATGTTATTGGTATTTTGGGATTTTTTAAAAAAATAAATAAAAAGTTCATATAAAATATATGTACATGTGTCATGAGGAGATATATGTGCATGCACATGTATGTGTATGTATAGTGTATACTTGTATAAAGCAGAGTTTTATGTTACTTTCATAAATGTATGCATGTCTGTACCCACTGCATTCATGTGTACGCACAAACACATATATGTCTAATAATTTCTTATTGTGGAACTGCATCCAAATTTGAGTAGTAATTGAGTTTCACCTGTATTCCTCATGCCTGATCTAGATTCCAAACAGAATTTAGCTGTCCATATCTGGTAAACAAGATTCCTCAGAGGATAACGAGAAAAAAAAAGCATTAAGAGAGTTAACATACACAGACTGCACACACACAAACATCGGTCATAAATTACTCTTTGGGACTAGATGTATCTGTAGAAACAAGGTGAGAAGCGATGATGAATTTTCCTGCTAGAATGGGCCTTTTTATGGCAAGCCTCTATGGCCTATACGAGGATATGTTTCTGAGAAATGGAAATCAGGAAAAAGGGAAGAACTTTCTGGCTAACAGTACATTCTCCAGAACATTTTACTAGCAAACGTAGCACTCATAAAAAGTAGGTGGAGAAATACCAGAATCAAATAACAACAATAATAAAGTTGGAAGGGACCTTGGAGGTCCAACCCCCTGCTCAGGCAGGAAACTCTATACCATTTCAGACAAATAATTCTGGGTTATCTTTTCTTTCAGGAGCTGGTGGCTGGTCCCCTTTGGATTCCACCAAGGAACAATGGCTCCAAGTTGATTTGGGAGACAGAGTAGAGATTACAGGCATTGCTACTCAGGGAAGATATGGAAGCTCAGACTGGACCACAAGCTACAGTCTAATGTTCAGTGATACAGGTCGCAACTGGAAGCAGTACAGACAGGAGGACATCATCTGGGTAAGTGGCCTTATCTACCTAATTTCAGTTTTCCATCTTCAGAAGAATTCCAGCCATAAAAATACTATTAAAGTTACCATTGTGACTTTTCTTTCTATATGATCTACCTACATAGAAAAGATAAGTTTCTATAACAATACCACTGAGAATGAGGACTGAAATTTTAAACAGATTTGTCTAAAGCTTACGGCTATGGAAATAAGATGTAAAATAACACATCGTATTTTATATCAAGAGGCTGAGAAATTTGGACAATCAATATATACATACCTCAAAGTGCACTGCACTAAAGATTTGGTAATTTTTATAGATAATATTAAGCCAATTTGTTTAACTCTTTTTTTAAAAACTAGCAATAGTGGCCTAGTTCACATATAATGTAAAGAATTTGGACATCATGTGCAAAACCAAAGAAGCCCATATTATAATTTAATGTTGTAAATGAACCTGGTCATAGTTTTGTAAATCCCACATGACTTTATGTGACATATTATGCATTATGGGAGTTCTTGATTAGTCCACTTCATTGTGAGGTGAAAATGAATCAGTTGAATTCTACTCTGTACCTCTGTAATAGGTGGGTTACTGCACCACTGGATCTGTTGTGGGTATTTGTAGATCAAGAAATGTACATAAGTGCTTCAATTTTATTAATTTGTACCTTACCGCTCTTTAGCAACTTTGTTCCAAGAAATTATGTTATACAATAGTTAAAAATGAACCAGAATCTCTTTGCCAACATTAATATTTCATCAATGACATTATTCAGTGTGTTATTTTCTCAATTCTGCTGATGTCTGAAAATTAATGTAGGAATAAATAATGCTTGTCTCTCTGCTTTGATGCAGTTGTGAGGATTATAGAGAACATGTGAAATATTAAGAACATTCTCAACAGATGCTGTGTAAATAAAATTATTAGAATTCCTTTTCTCATTCTCTTCGGAACACTCATGATTTAAATATAGATTTTCAAACCATTTTTCCCCAACACGGTTCAATTCTACTAATAACTGACATGATCAATAGAGCAGTGGCAATTTTATTAAATGTGAATTCTATGAATTAATTAAATGGGTATTATACTGGAATTCTATTACTTAATTATATTAACTCATGGTATAATTTAGGTAAACAATTTCTGTGTTTCTTTTGTCTTAACTTTCATAGGTCAATTTTTAGTATTTGTACTAACCAGAACATATTTTATCAATGAAATATTTTAATGCTAGCACGAGACCATTGAAATAACAATACATTTAAAATCAGAACTAGGAATCCACAAAAAAGTTTCAGTATCAAAGACTATCCCAGGGTGGCGTGTAATCTGTCAAGGACCAATAAACCAGTATTTCTATAAACATGCTGTGTCTGTTTAGATGATCTCATAAGGCAGTTGATGCCAAATTTTGCACAAGGCTTCAAATGAAAAGGGAAAGAAAAAGATGCATAAAATTGTGACACCCCCCCCCCGGTAAGGTGCACATTTAGTAGGCAGATTTTTCCAATGCATTGGGGGGGGGGCAGAATTTTTCCCATTTCTTTTTCATGTGACCAGATACAGTGTGAAGAGTGAGGCTACAAGTCATTTTTGACTCCTGGAGATCCCCTGGACTAGTCCCTTAAATTTTCTTTGCAAGGGTTTTTGGAAGTGGTTTGCCCTTGTGGGCTTCTTAGGGCTGAGAGAGAGTGACTGGCCCAAAGTCACTCAGCTGAGTTCATGCTTAAGGCTGGACTAGAAGTCACAGTCCTGATTTCTAGCTTGCTGCCTTAATTACAACACCAAACTGGCTCTTTTTTTGTTTTACAGGGCAAGTATTTTCCTTTAACTAAAGCAACTGTAGTTTGCTTACCACAGAGAATGCATATATTTTAGTAGATAGTTTAATTTCACAATATGGAAATTGTATCACCATAACTCATTACTTGATGCACAAGGTTGGCAGTAATGGGTTTGGAGTTCTAAAGCTAAATAAAAGGGTGGAGTGGGGGCTTCATTCCCATCTGCCAAGGAATCTGCATTTCAAATGATAAGAGAAGTGTGGGGTGACAAGATAAATTTTAAACCTGTGTATTAATCCAAGAGGTATTTGATTGGTGTCATAGATATGCAGATCAAGTAAAGGTTTTCCTATCTATCATCTACCTCATTGCAGAGAAAAATCTACAGGGAAGGGTTCAATCTGTTGGCTGGTTCATGCAAATGAATACACCAGCATTTTCATGTGAATGAACCAGCAGCATTCACCAAGCAATATTCCCATCTAGCTTCTACGGAAATGAGAGGCAATTACCCAAGTTATACATTCCAAGGTGAAACTGGTTCTTTCAGCTTATTCAAATAAGGTTGATAAAACATCAGCTTTGTCTTGAATGCATTGCCTTCGGAAGCCTCATGATCTAAGCATTTGCTTTGATGCTCATCTCAAAATCCAAAGATGGCTAAACAGTTTAAGCTGATAGGTATATATAATGTACAAACTCAGTTTTAAACGTTGATATTATCACTCAATTTCTGGGCAAGAGTGCCAGTTATTAAATATACATGGACTCTGATGTTTCCAGAATTCAGGAAACACAAACCTAAATCTTATCATTTTATTATCATATTATTTTTTCTTTGCATTTTTAAAAGTATGGATTGGCAGATGCTTAACATATTGGCTGAGTTTGCTAATCCCAGCCTTCACTTCTAATATCAATTGCCTCTCCTTATGTAGTACTAGCACATGACATATGTTGGTTGAGTCTGTGAGATGGTAGTATTTACTTTAGTCTGTCCAACTAGTGCAGGGGTGTCAAACTGCCGGCCCATGGGCTGGATGCGTCATGCCGAAACCGCGCCCACCCCAACTCTGGGAATGGGGAAATGTTGTGATACATAGCGATACATAGCGATACATCACGTGACGTTGCGAGTTTGATACCCCTGAACTAGTGCAAAGGAAACCAAGAAGCTGATGGTTCTTTCACCATTTCCTACCATGCTCCCTTTGGAGAGAGAATAACCACAAGCCCAAATTCAGAAGGTGGTTGACTCTCTTTTACTGAGACATTTTAAACAGTTGCTTGTATAACTGTGTTATATTTTAGACTTTAAGTAACCTAGTTACTCTTTCTCTATGTTTGTAATCAGGCTAAAAGCACCCATCACAAGACTGAACAATAGACTCTAGGGTAATTTAAAATCACTGCACAACATACACAGTTTTGGGACAGGGTCATTGGTACTGTGCTCAGACTTTGAAAATTTCTTGTCCTTATCAACATTCCCAAGGTATCTAGTTACATTTGTAATTGCTGGTAGATATAAGCAGTTGAGATGCTGTGAGGCAAACAATGAAATCTTAGCAGGAGGAGGGGGAAGGAGATAATAAAATATGATACAATACATTTTAAATTAGAGTAAAAAGACCAAGCAAAATTAAACCTTCAGGTGATTCTACAACACTGCGTGATTCCTGATTTCTATTACTGCTCACCATGGGAATAGATAGCTTACAGATAACTGCAATTTCTCTTAATGCTGATAAAAGTAGAAAAAGCTTCTTATGGGGAACAGAATTATAGAATGAAAACACTGAGAAAGTGATGAAAGTCATAATACTCCCCCTCCATTTTGATTTAGTATCTTCCAACTGCGTATGAACAGATGAGGCCAGTGTAAAAAACAATACACCACATGCTCCTGTAAATGGTAGTACTGCTGCAGAAAGGGAAAGGGCAAACAACACCAGCTTTATTCCCAGTATTTTTTAAAAAGTGAAATATGCCCAGATCACTCCAAAAGCTATCAAGAAACCGTACGTTAGAAACAATGTAGAGAGGGAGAGAACAAAGGAAAACAACTCATTTCCAAAATGTTGTAATATACTACATGCTCACTACTACAGCAAAGTCCAGGTCTTGATGCAGACTGGGGTTTTACTTGTAATTGTAGTTTACAACTTGTTCTTTACTTGTTTACTTTTTATACTTGTAGTTCAAGTTTCTTCCTTTATAAGATGTTCTACTTAACCTCATCACTGAAAACTTCAGTGGAAATTCCCATAAGCCAGGAGTTGGTTATATTACCTGTGAGTAACAAGTAAATGGGCATTTTATACTTGGATAACATCAAGCATGGACAAACTGAAAAGGTGATTCATAAAGTATACATCCAAAGAGTGAGAAAATTACTAAAGGCAAGAATGGTGGAAACATCATCAAAGTCACCAATGTTTGGACCATACCTGTGATATGATATACTGCTAAAATTATTAAATGGATAAAAGCTGAACTGGACAATAACAACAACAAAACCAACAACAAACTAATGACTATTCATTATGCATTATATCCCCGTATAATTGGGAGATTATATGGGGATATGATAGATTATACTTGCCCGGAAGAAATGGAGGCAAAGGTTTTCTTCAAGTCATACAAACTGTCAAAGAAGAAAAACATGCTCTGGCTGATTATGTAAAAGACAGCCAAGAAAAAGTATTGATGCAAGTTAAAAACTGGAACTTACTAAATGTACAGATAACAACAAGTAAGCATTGAATTAATGTGATAACAACACAAACAGAAGAAAAAGCATGACATGGTTAATTTCTACAAAATATCGAGAGGAAAGTGGATAAAGATAAAACCTGGTAATGACTCACAACATTAAAAAAAGAAATAAAAGGCTTGATTTTGGCTGCACGAGAACCAACTATTTGAACTAATGTAATAAATGCCAGAACTGAAAAATCATCAAATAATCCAAAGTGCAAAAAAGCAGAAGAAACTATAGAAAATATACACTTATCTAAAAAAAAAGGACAATTTGATTATAAGAAAATATACACTTATCCCAAAAAATGGACAATTTGATTATAAGCAGCAATATAACACAGCTGCAAAAATGTTTCACTGGAATATCTGTAAAAATTATAAAAAAAAATGATAGGAACATATAGTTGAAAAAAGTAATTGAAAATGAGCAGGTCAACATATTTTGGAATTGCTAAA